CGATTACAGATACAGTCTCCAAATTAGGTATGCGTAACGGAATTTGGAACAAAAATAAATTTGCCAAATTATATTGAAATCGGTTCAGATTTGGATATAGCTTCCATATATATTTTCGACCGATTTCGTTAATTTGATGCCTCAAACACGATATGAATGTTCGATTCCAATGAAATTTGGAATGTGTGATGGGATTTGATCCGAAAATAAATTTGTCAAATTATATTGAAATCGGTTCAGATTTGGATATAGCTCCCATATATATTTTCGGCCGATTTCAAGCATTTGATGCACCAAACAAGCTATGTATACCAATTTCAATAAAATTTGAAACGTGTGATGGATTTAAAAAAAAAAAAATGATTTCCCAAATTATATTGAAATCGGTTCAGATTTGGATATAGCTCCCATATACATTTTCTGACAATTTCATGTATTTGGTGCACGATATGTATGTTCAATTTTAATTAAATTTAAAATAAGTAACGGAATTGGGAGCAAACATGAATTTGTCAAATTATATTGAAATCGGTTCAGATTTAGATATAGCTCCCATCTATATTTTCGACCGATTTCATGTATTTGATGCACCAAACGCGCTATGTATCTCTAATTTCAATGAAATTTGGAATGTGTAGCGGAAATTAAAACGAATATACATTTGTCAAATTATATTAAAATCGGTTCAGATTTGGATAAAGCTCTCATATATATTTTCGACCGATTTTATGTATTTGATGCACAAAACACGATACGTATTTCTGATTCCAAAGAAATTCGGCATGAGTGACTAAATTTGGTACAAAAATAAATTTGACAAATTATATTCAAATACGCTCAGATTTGATCATAGCTCCCATATATATTCTAAACCGATTTCAAGCATTTGATGCACCAAAAGCGAGAGAGGCAAAATCTGGCACCAGAAATAATTGCCAAATTATATTGTAATCAGTTGAGGTTTGGGTATAGCTAAAATATATATTTCGGCCGATTTCACCAAACATGATATATATGGCCGATTCCAATAAAATTCAGAATGTGTGGCGGAATTTGGTTACAATAATAAATGTGACAAATTAATTGGAAATTAGTTAAGATTTGGATATAGCTCCTATATATATATTCTCGGCCGATTTCACATATTTGATGCACCGATTTCAATGAAATATGAAAGTTGTGGCGGAATTTGGTGTAAAAGTAAATCTTTTATAATTATATTTAAATGGCATCAGATTGGGATATGATTTTAATAAGAACCATTGACCCACAACGCCTTAGGCTAAAACTAAAAAACAACACAACAATTAATTTGAAATACGCTTATTACGGGAAAGTATGTTGCTACCTTGAATTCACTAATTGCAATAGAAATGCCACTCAACTTCAAAAGATTGCAGTTTACTGCACGCTTAGTATTTGCTATGAAATAAATAAATCCAAAGGACAAACCCTTCGTGTATGCATGTCATGTTACTGCTTTTCTAATGGTTTTGTTTATTTACGCATTAAAGCAGTGCAATATATTTTTTTTTTAATTTTTAAATTTGTTTTTTTTTTTTAACCAATATATTTTCGTAAATAAAATTTTGAATACATATAAAATCAAAAGGGGTAGCGGAGCGCACCGGGTTCAGCTAGTATATATATATATAGAACGAACATTTAGAAAACAATTATAAAAATCGTTCCAGCTGTTCATAACTGATTACCAACGAATATATATATATATATATATATATGTATATATATATATATATATATATATATATATATATATATATATATATATATATATATATATATATATATATATATATATATATATATATATATATATATATATATATATATATATATATATATATATATATATATATATATATATACATATATAAAACTATTGTTTGTTGGTAATTGAATCAGTTATGAACAGCTGGAACGATTTTTATAATTTTTTTCTAAATGTTCGTTCTATCCCGATTAAGGTTTTTATGCAAAGAAAAAGTGACCACACCCAATTTTACGCCCATTTTTTCGATTTATCTGAAATCCTAATATTTTGCCAAAATCATGAAGATGTCTGTTCTACAGTTAGTATACGACGTAATCTTCACTCTCCCTCCAACAATAGGTATCTGTTTGGGGCCGGAGGAACTGCCTACACCAAAATTTAAAAAGCATAGTAACACGTCAGTTGAGAACGGCTGGGTCGATCTGACTCAAATTTTCTTTTGGTTTTTTGTAATTACAGTGGAAACGTTTTCGTGAGAGAATATTTCAAGAAGAGCTTCTATAAAAATCGCGGAACTGAAAAAAATCACTGTTCTATTTTGATATGGAGCATTGTGTAGAATATTTTCTATACATGACGTTATATGGTTGCCATACCAAATTTTCAATTTTGATTTAAAAATACTTTTCGAAGCATCAAAACATTGAAAATCTCAACGTACATTTAAATTGAGGCTATGCCTAATGGGGAACCAATAGTAGCCACTACTGGGGAGTAGAAAATAAATAATAAAGTTGACTTTTGTTATAACTTTTTTGACAAATGGTTTATAACCTCAAAAATACTTTAGAGTGCTTCAAAATACCTCAAATCGGCTAAATCAGAGCACAGTTTTTCGACGAATATTAGGAAATAATATTATATGAGGGCTATATATAACTGAGAACAAATACATACCTTTTGTAACATCAATCATCCTAAGAATAATATAAAAACCGGTGCAAAGTTTGAAAGATACATATTAAATTTGGTGACCTCTATCCCAATTGCAAACGGTGAACGAAGAGGCTCACGGACATAATTTAATCAACAAAGAATTCTACTCTTCAACATACTTTATCGGGTCCCTAACTTTATATAAGTCGATGAACCTAGATTTATGATAGTTAAATTTAAGTCATATTGCCAGGATTTCAATTTAGAAATGACTATCGTTTCTGAGGTCTAAAACTCCAAACAATTGACTAGATATGGAAATAATCTATCCAATGAGAACTCAAAATGCAAAATTCATTGGGACTGCAATCAGTGAAATACCGAATATGTAATATGCGCACTATACAAAATAGTGGAGCGAATTGAAAATTTAATAAAAAAGGATTCAAAGCCTCGGAAAATTCTTCCGAACCCTTAAAAGTAACCTTAACTCACAAGTAACTTTATACGGGGACTATGCGCTGTCGTCAGTAATTACACTGCGGGAAATTTAAACTTGGGAAATTGTTTGGTTGGTAGATAAAAATCGCAAAAGGGGGGTTTCATGTCAAACGTTTTAGGGTCCATTTTCTATAGCTTAACCATACACAAAGGGCCTCTAATTTTTTCTTTATACTCCGCAAAAGTTGCGATAGAGTTTTAAATTTGTGACAGTCCTAGGGATTACAGGAAGAATCATTTGTACAAAATATGTATCGGACTTAACATCCTAACCATCTAAGTTGACCCTTTAAAAATAATACCGGTTACCACAGGCTGACATACGCAAACCGTCGTAGAATTGTATGCTGATCAGAAACTCATTTCCTGCGTTTGGTCCTAAAATATTATTTCTATGAATTACAAACAGAATGACAAAAATCACATCCTGTTATTTTTCCAAATATTGACTAAGAACGTATATATCATTTCAGAGAAATCAAGGGATATGAAAATGTCCATTAATTTAAAAAAGGGCAATAAATTTGTCTAACAATATGAAATGAATTTCTATTCCTAACATGTGAATTCGTATGCAAATTTTGTCAAATAGAATTCAATCAAAAACGATAAATATTAAAAGTTGTATTTTTAACAATTTCGGAAATATTTGTTTCAAATATGTAGTAAGATATATTTGTGCTCTAACATTTCTTACGGTGTATTCAAAAAAATATCCGACAGCACCTTTCTCGTCGACTGCTCGAATAAAACTAAATATTATCCCAAAACCATTTGTCAAAAAAATTATCCCCATAGGCATAGCCACAATTTAAAAGTACGTTGAGATTTTTAATGTTTTGATGCTTTGAAAAGTATTTTTTAATCAAAATTGAAAATTTGGCATGGCAACCATATAACGGCATGTATAGAAAATATGCAAATTTTCTCGATGTTTTCGGTTTTTTCCAATAAGAATTTTCAATTGCAAAAGGCATTTTGAAACAATTCTACACAATACTCCATATCAAAATAGAACAGTGATTTTTTTTCAGTTCAGCGATTTTTATAGAGGCTCTTCTTGAAATGTTCTCTAACGAAAACGTTTCCACTGTAATTACAAATAACCAAAAGAAAATTTGAGTCAGATCGGCCCAGCCGTTCTTAACTGACGTGTTACTATGCTTTTTTAAATTTTGGTGTGGCCAGTTCCTCCGGCCCCAAACAGATACCTATTGTTGGAGAGTGAAGATTACATCGTATACTAACTGTAGAACAGACATCTTCATGACTTTGGCAAATATTAGGATTTTAGATAAATCAAAAAAAAAAAAAAAAAATGGCGTAAAATTGGGCGTGGTCACCTTACTCGGGATAGAACGAACATTTAGAAAAAAATTATAAAAATCGTTCCATCTGTTCATAACTGATTCAATTACCAACGAACAACAATTTTTTTATATATATAGAGTAGGCGTGGTCAGTTCCCCAGTGCCCAAACAAATACTTAGGGCTGGATGGAAAGTCAACAGTATCTTGTGTAATAATTTTTAAATCGAAATCTTCATAATTAGGCAAATATAGGAATTTTAGAAAAATCAAAATAGTGGGCGTAAATGTAGGCGTGGTCAATATTTTTTCCTTTAAAAACCTAACTCGGGGTATGACGAACGTTGGTACAAAAAATAATGCAATTCGTATTATCCCCAAAAGTAGTGTAGTCCCGAATCTGCCTCGAAAAAATCTCGAAACCCGTGTTGTTAACAATAAATTTTAATTTTTACCCAATATAACAAAGTCTAATACTTTCAACACAACCAATTTTACGACTCCACGCTCTTATACTTACATTTTTTGCCATTCTTCTTTTTCCAGTATTTAATGAATGTTGAATATGTTGTTGTTGACGTGAACTCATCTCTAGAGATATAGGTAGATTCCAAGCTTCTTCAATTGAACAGAGTTGTCGTCTTTTCGACGTAATACTAGGCATTGGAGCCTGTAGTAGTTGGGAGTTTAAAAAGCGAATACGTTGTTCCAAACATTTGCTGACATTAAATTTGTCTGAAGAATTTGGTTTTATGATTTGGACATCCTGAAAAGAGCAATTTAAAAGTAATTATTGTCTTAAATGTTTGTTTCATGCATCGAAATTATTGCAGTTGTTTTAAATATAAAAGTGTGTACACACATTCAGTTATTAAGAACGAGCCAAAATACAAATGAGATGTAAAGAGTTGTTTAATTTTGAGTGAACAAGAAATCAGCGCCATTTGTGTGTTTTTAGCCATAGCTGATTCATCCAGCTAAATAAATTGTTTATTTTTAGTTATTTAAACTTAATCGCAATGACGTCAGCTATTTTACAACAACAGACGATAAGACCATTGATGAACAAACACAAAAACTGCCAGATAGACGTGCGGACATGTGGGACTAGCTACTTGGGTCAATAACACAATTAAAACATTTTTGAACATTTCTTCAAAAACTTTTTACGTTTCTGAGTGTGATAATCAACCAATGCATTTCTGGCCCTATAATTTATTACTTCATTTGTTTACACAAGATTTTAATATGATTTTTTGATTAATTTATGACATAGTTATAGAGGGTATTACTTGTATTTAATAGTATTTTGCCGGCATTGTGGTATATTATTCTTTTTAAAAAAGAATAACTTTACTAATTTTTTATATTCTACAATTTTTTTGTGATCAAACATTATAAAAACTTTTACAAATACAGCATTGTTATTAATTTAAAAACTTTATTTACAATTTAATAATTTTAGAAGCTTTGTGATGCATTATAATTTTCTTTATAGGGAAACACAAATATATACAAATCATATATATACAAATCATCACGTTTTTATAAAAAAATTTCCAAACTAATGTTTTGTTTGCTTTTAACTTAAATGGTGTTTATATTACCCCTACACTGTCTTTATGAATCGAATCATTCAAAAGTCTGAAGGGTTTTCTATAATATTTAAAAAATGTTAAACAATAACATACTTATTTAATCATTAAACCTGAACGCATGATTATCCTGTAAGCGAGAACGCATGGTAATCCCGTATGCCATGGGTTAGGCGAAACTATTAACTTCAATGCACTACAATGCAGGCATATGACAAACAATGAAAGATACAACGCAGCGAAGATCTTCGAGCAGCGCAGTTCATGTCCGAATGAATATTTCGCAATGAATGTCCGCAACACAATTGGATAATCTCAAATATAGCATTTTCAGATTAAATGAAACCTTTTGCAATTGAAATGAAACCTTTTGCAGTGGAAATGAAACTTTTTGCAGTGGAATTGAAACATTTTGCAGCGGAAATGAAACCTTTTGCATTTGAAGTGAAACCTTTTGCAACCGAAATGAAACTTTCAGATTTATAGAAAGAAACATAACAAAACATTTTTATTTTTAGTAGGTTTTAGTTAAATCAACTAATTATTTTTAATATGTAGTTAAAGAGGAGTTTTCATTGATTATTAATATCCATATTTTTTTTCATAAATTTTCAATTATTGTAATAACAAATTGTTTCTTATTAATTAAATTTAAAATATTACCATATTAAATATTCTTAGTACTTAACGCTAAATAGGGAGAATGAAACAGATTTTGGCCTTTATTACTAAAAATTGTATGGGCAGGACTGAAATGCGGAATTAACCTTTACTATAACGTTTTAATAGTTATAACATACTATTAATCTTACCTAAAGGATTCCCGATTCGCAACTTGTTTGACTTTTAACAGAAGATCCATTATGGACATATAGCAGTCTTGTTATGTAGGCTATTGAATGGTTCGCTTAATCGCGTATACAATGTAATGCCTTGTTGAAACATTCCGGTACCATTTTCAATACCAAACATCCTAGACACAATACAATATTGCGCCAAATTTCAAATCTCTACATGAAATTTCAAGTCAATATCGTAAATCCAACAGACAGACAGGTGGACATCATCAATGATTGTATGTACTTTATAGGGTCTATGACGAATATTTAGAGGTGTTAAAAACGGAATGACAAATTTAATATACCCTCCTTTCCATGATGGAGATTTTAATAAGGTATCTAATTCGGGTCTTTTTTTATGACATCGTGCAATACACTGAAAATTTAAGAGAGAGTATTATAAAACTATAGATATTAATAATCAATAAAAAATCCTCTTTAACTATATGATAGTTATAATCAGTTGATTTAAATTTAAAAGTACTTAAAATAAAAATGTTTTGTCATTTTCCTTTCTATAAATCAAAAAGTTTCATTTGATTTGCAAAAAGTTTCATTTCGGTTGCAAAAGGTTTCATTTTCGCTGCAAAAGGTTTCATTTCCGCTGCAAAAAGTTTTATTTCAATTGCAAAAGTTTTCATTTAATCTGAAAATGCTATATACACATTGATTTAAATTTATGAAACCTTTTGCATTTGAAGTGAAACTTTTTGCAAATTAAATGAAACTTTAGATTTTTAGGAAGAAACATAACAAAACATTTTTATTTTTAATAGGTTTAAGATTAAATCAACTAATTATTACTAATATATAGTTAAAGAGAAGTTTTTATTGATTATTAATATCTATATTTTTTTATAATATTACTAGCTGTCCCGATCCGCGTTGCGGGTTCGTAGTTTTAGTCTTTAATGCATAGATGATGACATGTTCAACATCTACCATAGTAAATTGTTGTGGCCGATCAGGCTAGTAGAGATTGTACACAACGTAGGATCCTTCTCTTCGCCCTGTCACTCTCGGCGTGCTCTATAAAGGGCCTGTTAAAATAACTCGCGCACCTCTTCGGACCTGTCATTTCTACTCCGTTAAATGGGACCAATGTCGATCATCCTTTTTCCAGGGCCCGAGAGCGACTTAACCGTTGCCCACAATTTACTCGATCCGCTTCTGACGTTGCAATGATTCAGATTTATACGACGAAGCTTATCTCGCTCATTTGCTTCTGCATTGCTGGGAAATGTGTATTTAAGGCAGGTGTATGGCGAGTGGCTACCACCTGAACATCAGATGGGTTGGGCAGTTCTCTGATGCGGCCATTGGTGTATTCCCTGAATTATCGCCAATTGACGATCAGAGGTCTGAGCCTAAAGAATTCAGGCGGTCTGAACCTAAAGAAATGACTGATTGCCACGTTACGTAATTTGTCAGACATGGGGACACGATGGATATATCCGGTGAGCTGTGGCAGTCTCCCCTTTTTCCGGAAGGTGCGTCCTCATTCACTGTGCAAAATGTAGAGTTATCAATTTGCCTGTAGTAGTTACCTAGGACGGACTGCAATAACCATGAATTATGGCAATTGAAATCCCCTAGCACCAGACCTAGGTAACTAGGCTTTGAAATCCCCCACCACGAGACTGTTATTGCCTACCAGAAGTAAACTGATTTTGGACATATAACGCGGGATACAGCTATTGGCGGGATGTACACGGTAAGCACACCTCTACCTTAGCGGTTCCACAATGGACCGCTGCCCCTATACATTCCACTGGTCACTAGATCCAAGCATAAGTGACATATATGTCTGTACCAAACAGATTGGTGGAATAGGAACGCTATTTCTCCACCTCTGTTTCGATCCTTCCTCAATACGTTGTATTCATTACAACTTTGAAGTCTGCAGGTGCTATTCAGCTTCGTCTCCTGAATCGCAGAAACTTTGACATTCTTCTGGAGAAAAGATGCGTTATGCAAAACTTCAACAGCAATGTATGGTGTCAACTGCTGCATAAATTGCTTTTTGTGGAAATTGCGGAATAGTCTCGTACTGTGACGACGACTCTGAAGACGTGAACGACGAAGATGATAATTCACCGTGGTCTTCATTGGCGCAGCAGGAGGCAATGTAGTCCCTATCGCTATACTCCTTTATCCGGTTTAAGACCGAACAATTCTGGATATGCACCCACCACAACATGTATTTGCTGGTTTGACGGTAGAACAATTTAGGGTTCTATCTATTGTGACTTATATGGACACTAGGCCAACATTATTTTATGTCTTCCATGTAACGGTACGCTCTACATTCGTTATTTTTATGATCTAAGCCCTATTTTCAGCGGAATTTTTTAAAATTTGGAACTGAAAACTCGAAATAGATATCAAACCAAGTAGCGCGCCCGTTCATGAGCATTTTTTTTAATTTGTTTATCCCTCGTTGGACGGCATTAGACGTTAAACCTGAACGAATTTAACACTTTTTTGTTCATTCATATTTGTTTTGGAATTGTCTTTTGGTTCCCTCTCTCGTTTCCACATTTCTTTGATTTCGCTCGTTTACTAGTTGGCCCGATCCCGATAAAATTTGAGGGGACTATACCCCAATGTAAACCGACCTGATACATATTTTGTACAAATGATTCTTCCTGTAATCCCTAGGACTGTCACAAATTTAAAACTCTATCGCAACTTTTGCGGAGTATAGAGCAAAATATTTGAGGCCCTTTGTGTATGGCTAAGCTATAGAACAGGGCTAGGCAGAGAGCCTCAAAATTTTTTTGTGATTGTATGTGTTTTGAAATAACAAAATATTGCAAGTGTTTTTTTGCCTCTCTTTACAGAGTGAGAAATAATTAAATAAATCAAAAACTCAGATCCTGCGTTCGGTCCTAAAATATTATTTCTATGAATTACAAACAGAATGACAAACATCAGATCCTGTTCTTTTTCCTAATATTGACTAAGAACGTATATATCATTTCAGAGAAATCAAGGGATATGAAATTGTCCACTAATTTGGAAGGACAATAAATTTATCTAAAAATATTAAATGAATTTCTATTCCTAACATGTGAATTCGTATGCAAATTTTGTCAAATAGAATTCAATCAAAGAATTTAAATCTTAAAAGTTGCAATTTTTACAATTTCGGAAATATTTGTTTCAAATATGTAGTAAGATATATTTATGTGTTCCAATATTTCTTACGGTGTATTCATAAAAATGTCCGACAGCACCTTCCTCATCGACTGCTCGAACAAAACTAAACATTCTCCCAAAACCAATTTGACAGAAAATTCAAAAAAAAAGTGACCACGCCCAATTTTGCG